GCGTGGAACAGTATCAATTATTACCTTCGTGGGTAATATTACCATCATCATTCATTCAGTAAGAACAAATTACCTGAAGTCACTCATTCATGTATATTTTTGATAATACAATACTATATCTGATATAAAATGTGATGAGGTCACCACTACAAACCAGCGTAAAAAATCATTCGTGTTCTGAAAACTATCTTACAATAATTAGATAAATATATTTCACAAGCGCATATTTTACACTATATCTCGTGAGAGTGGTAGATATGAAAGCACCTTGCCATCAATGCGATAAAAAGGATAAGAAGGTAAGGTAGATTGCCGTCTAACATTTTCTATGTATCATTTAAAGTATTGATATCGAGAGGATGCCTAAATTGGGTGAGATGCAAACACATGTTTTTTTGTCGGGGGTCATGCTGTTGAGAACAACGAGACGTACGCACGACGTTGCGCTTCCACAAGCTGAAACGACCAAGCACACGCGACTAGACAGTTATCTGTAAATATGGCAATGTTGCGACAACTGCAACGGGGTGAGCCCGTTCCATAAAAATTGGTACGAAAACACCAATTTGTGTATATTATCTATTTTGATAATAATCAATCAACATCACTCGAGAAAAGCTATGTTGTCGAAATATTACCTCTAAGGGTAACATTCGTGGAGGGGTTCATTTCTTGGTTGATGCACCGTGTACATCAACCACGTTTAACCACCAATCGCTGCTGGACGCGCGCAATGGGTGGTGGATAGAAGCCCGCATAGGAGACAGTAGTTTAATATAGTTAGGTTAAGACGAGAGATGATTTAGTAAGAAAATAACTAAATTAAATAACAGTTCTACTTTTCCTTTAAGACAGAGCTTTTGGGTTCTTTATTGTCTTGGTCCCGCTTCCTCACGCCACGTGTACGTGACGTAGGGCGTACGCACCCTTGTATTGTTATCAATACAAGGCCTTGCTCAGTTATTTAACAAGAGCGTGCCCCGTTACAACAACCATATAGGCGACAAATTCAGCCACGATACATGTTTGTGATTGACAGTTTGTATGTGTTTATATATCATTATAACGGTATGGATGAATATCGCCACATCTTAGACCCGACTTAGTGAGTGTATGCGACGGACGAGCACATAATCATAGCACCGTTTTTTATTCAATCACAGATTATAGAAAAAAATCCTGGCCAATAAACGCATCGGGAAAGGGGTTTGGGACACCAGCCGTTCTGAAGTATTCGGTCGGAGGAGAAAGCCAAATATGCGTATGTATATAAAAACTCCAAGTCAAGGTGTATCGATTGCATATTTGCGTGCTGTCCGTCCTCAAATGAGCTTGGCCGATTTGCAGGCTGAAATTTCTATGCAGGCTTGAGCACTGCTGTGAAGGCATTCGTGTGGTCGATCAGTGTGAGAATGCGAATATAGAGTATGTCAAGGGCTGCATTCAGCGCGACGACTGTTAGCAGTTGTAACGTGGCATTGATCGCTACTTTCTGGACTACCACTACGGCGCCAACTCTCACTGACAATGTTGAAAGTTAGTGTCCTATAATTTTTATACAACGCGCAGAGGAAGGGTAAACGACAACGATATAGCCTTTAGTCGTAGTGTTGGTCAAAACTATTTAACAATATACTCAAGTTCAACATCTCCTAAGTCTGATTTGTCCTTACTTAGATAAATTAATACAGTATAGTCTCCCTATTTAGTAAAGCTGCGACCACCATATTTAATTAAATAAGAAAATTATCAAATAGCAGAGTTAGGAGAGTAAAATTGAATCGGAATATGCAATATGACGTGTTAAAGGCGTCTCGGCATAATTCTCGCACATGGGATTGTAGCTCATGTGGTGTGGTGCGGCAGCACCAAGCGAGATGTCACCTATTCGATATTTGATAACTACAATATAAACTGAAAGCCTTCGGGTTCTGGTGTGCCAGGGTTCACCAGCAATGACCTGCCAGGCAGTGACGTTTCCCATTTTAGGTACGTGTAGGTGTTTGTAAGAAACACGCTACCTAGCAGGATACTGGAGAGGAGTTCTCAGGGATGATTCAAAAGATGCAGGATCAGGTGGGAAAGTTTCAGCTAAAATCCCATCAGCAATAAACTCTAAATAATGTTTTGTAGTGGTCCCTCCGCAGTAGTTTATTATTTGTATGACGAAAATTACTCTGGCTTTATCAAAAAAAATGAAGGGAGCTTTTTTAATATTTGGCCTGGGCCCAACATGGGACTCAAAATTTAATTACGTAAGGGAGATCATGAAATAAGAGAATAATAAATTGCGGAGACTCTTAGTGCATAATTGAACGTATATTGACATCTACTCATCACCCATTGCGCGCGTCTAGCAGCGATTAATGGGTTGACATAAACAAAATATCAACCAATATGTATACCCTTGGGTCATCTCATCAATATCACTGTGTTAAGGTGTATTGTTAGGAAAAAAATATCCATCATAATATGTAGGCCACGACTAGGGGCACACCCCATTTTTGCTAGGGGCACACACGCCCTCCTAAAATGATAATAACGACTTCTCATTTAATGTTTAGGCACGTACCTCGTCACAGACGTTAGCTGTAATTCCACAAATACTGCACGCGGTACGTGTTTGCCCGTGCCCCAAGGAATCTAAGGTAAAGCTCACTCGAGCTGCAACGCACCACCCAACGGATGCAAATATCCGTAAACTTATGACGGTACTGAAGGAAAAAGTGGCAGAGCAGAAGAAGGAGGAGAAAATGCGCCAGGATGGCCATCTGCTGGGTAAGACCGAGGCAGTCGAGAGCAAGGCTGTTTCTAACTGGCTTCCGCTTCAGCTAAAATAAACGCCCAAGTTCAGTCACGCGCTGTGGATAGTCGCTGTTGTGCTCATTGACATCGCATTGGCTCTCGGCCAACTTGGTTTTGTGGAGTAGCGGAGGTGCTGAAGATGCTGCAGCAGCGCAACGGTCATTTGACGTCACCCATCCAGAAAGCTGAAATTCCTGTGGAACATAATGTATTGTTTGGCGTACCTCAAGAGTTTAATTCGGCAGACACATGCCAAGTTCATGCATGATGACAAACGTCTTCATGTACCTCTCCCGACGCCACGCGAATTTAGCTGTTGCGTGCAAAATGCCACCTCGTGTGCCTCAACAGTCGATTCTTGCGAACGACAGCATTTCGTTGCGTGGTGCCCGTCGTCACAGGTCTCACATCTAGTTTGCTACTTGCTCCACTGTGAGACCATTTTACGTACTACGCTTGATGTGTTTCTTCCTGAAGCGAGAGTCATTTTCATGTATTGACCGGCGACGGAAGACGGCTGATGTCTGGCTTTTGCTTGCAAATTTCGTGCGCGACGACGTTTCTCATAAGCGTCTGGATTCAATTGTCTCCAGCGTCGACACAGTTGAGGTTTTTTGCGGCCACTTAGCTCAGCAGCAAGTCGCGGCCAGAGTCTGGGCGACTTGATGCCCCACTCGCGCTATCTTGTAAGAATGAGCCATCTTTCTGCTCGGTGAACTTACGGGACGACAAGTCCGGTTTGATGCAGTTATCGTATCGGTCCCGAAGCGCTGGCTGTGTTCGCCCGGGCACATTTTGACAAATGTCGCTCCACGGCACTTGATCCTGATTGGACTCACTGCCTTTTGGCACGTATGCACGAAGTGCGAGCAGCAGCCTTCTATCCTCACTCAGCGAAAACTTGCCTCACCGAAGACCTGGTGCAAGCGAGAGCTGCCCTCGATGGCGGATCTACCCCGACACACGGCCATCCATCAAATCTGCAACTACGTTCCTCTTTTCGCCAAAGACCGGGACAGCTTCACGCAGGATAAACTACTGGTCTTCCCGGCACTAACATGCGCTTTGCAATCTCGTGCCGCTTCTACACCAGTTTCGGGTCGTCTTGTCATGTGGCCAACCTTCGAAGCGCTGTGTCTTCCTCTTTCGTCCACGCCTCAACCCGAAACGTCGGCGACTCGTGCAAGTCATACCACATTTGCACGCAATACCCGAACGTTCAATTGGAAACTTTCTCGACTTGCGTGCCGCCTGCCACGCGCGAAGTTTGAACCACGCTTGCAGAAGTATCTCCACGTTAGCGGCGTGTGTCATGTAGGAATCTTTGGCAAAGTCCGCGGCGACTTTACGCTCTAAACTCGTAGTATCGTTAGGGTCCGGCTACAAACGACTCGTGACTGTGAGCACGTAGAAACTCGGATGTCGTTGCCACTGCCGATGGTCAGATCTTGGCATCATACCATGAGATTGAATACCGTCTTTATGAGACAGTAGCGATCCCAGCAGGCGTTGCCCGTTTAATACCGCCCTGGCCAAGATGGACTGATAAAATCTCGCGCATGAGTGCATTTACCGTAAGATCGGGAGGGACATATCGAGCAGTGGTAAGTGACTACGTATTTTACCTATTATGCACCATAAAATATGAAGTCCTTTTTATCATTTTACGAGAGCGGGTGTGCCCGTAGCAAAAGTGGGCTAATATTTAATTTTACCTTTTTCATTGTGGCCGTTTCATGTAACGGGCTACCCCGTTTCAGCTGTGCGTTGTTTCTGTCATGGATACGTTCGGATTGCATCTGGCCTTTTACAGAGGTAGAGCTGCAGCAATCCGCGTGCTAGACATTCTAACCTTTGCATGGAGACCCAAAAATCGATCGAGTTTCAACATAGGCGTCCCGAGATCTCGCATTATCATTGAGCACACGTAGGCGACTGATGTCGCACATTGCAGTAAGTGCTCTCAACGAAAACAGGAAGAATCGACTACTGTGACGACAAACCGGCGACCAGGATAGAGACGATGCCGTATAACACGTGTGTGATAAGATCGGCGCCGAAGAACTTCGCTTTCGGCGCGCAGCCCGCTTGGTACATGTGTATTCAAACTTTCACTCTTGTACCCTAGACCGAAATTCACTGCTGCGATCGAGCGCACCAGCTACCTGGCTGCCAGCGGCACCGCATCGTGAGGCTCAACCCCCACGGCTTTGACACTTCGACGCGACCTTTCGAAACTCATTTACAAAGTCTTGTACGTGTGCAGCCATATCGGCTCCAGTGGCGCGCCGATACTGGATCTCTGTAAACATCCAGGACAATGTTCATACATCGAGCGAAAGAGCGTGAATAATCATCATGCCATTTGCCGTTCTTACATGTACACACACACCGCTTAGATCATCATCGTCTTCGGCTTCAGCTGCGACTTTCGGTACTTCGGACCAGCGAAATCTGCCCTGTACAACCGACATGGATCGACGTCGAAACTGCTGCGTCACGTCCTCATTAATCACGCGAACAATAGTATTTTGCGCCGCGCGAGGCGTCGAGATGAGCTGCTGGTGCGCCGTGGCGCTCACGTTGGTCAGACTCATCGTGATAACGCGTTTTCCAATCGAGCTGCGGATGATGCTTCCATTGTCCATCGCCACAAATCCACCCGAGACGCCGCGCGTGCCACGGCGCTACAGAAACGCTCTATGCGAGTCCAGCGGCGGCGGCAGGTGACGCAACCACCGCCGTCTGTCCTGCGTCACGTTCTCATCGTGCAACATTTCCATCCCAAAGACACGATATTGGGGGGGGGGCTGTAGGTACTGAAGTAGTGCTGGTCCTCCAGCACAGGCGTGCCGCGGTGCTGCTCCGAGTGGTTCATGATGGACTGCGATCGGCGATACGGGGCCTCGAACCTCGACATGTGGGCTCTACAGGCACCACGCACGTATCTTCTTGATGGCAGGTAGTCGGCCCCGCCGTCGTCGTATCGGGTTTTTTACCCTCTCCACTCAGCACGCGGTCGCTGCACTTGTTGCAGTCGCTGCTGCACGAGATGTTGTAGTGCAAATAGACGAGACACGACGTGGCAGTCGATAGCGCCCTCATGCCTCGTGCTACTACTAGAGCTGCTGTTAGAGCTCTGACCCCGACACTGAAAGAGCTGCCACTGCGAGCAGCGCACGCGTAGCCCGCACTCGTTCACGACCGCAAAGTCTGGACGCCTCGTCTCCATCGTGTTGCGGTTGCCCTGTTATGAAGTCGCTTGAGCTCGGCGTCCATCTCGCCGTCTGCAAAGGTCTCCATCTCGCTCGACACGCTGCTGCGCACCGCCGATGGTCGTCGTCGCTGTCGTCAGTCAATCAGTCAGTCAGTCCTTTAAAAGAGCTCCGCGTCTAGTAGCAAAGCAGTTTACGTGCGGTAAACAGAGGCTGCCACGCGACTGGGGGGCGCCGCTCGTCTACCGCAGCGTTGCACTCGTGTCACGCGCTCTAATTGTCACAGCGCTTGTCGAATGGATTGGGTGCGGGCGTTGACGGCGGCTGTCCTGGGCTCGATACAGTTGACATTACTGCGTTCAATGTCGTTTGGGTATTCCCATTGCTCCGCTAGTTATGGTGCGCATGAGCGTACTGGCCGACTGCCTGAAGACGACGTACGTCGCTGAGCAGAAAAAGCTGAGCAGTATATTTTCCATACAGGATCCGTACGATGTAAGAGATGTGTATCTACAGAATGGTACGTCGGACGATCGGCCCTCATGGTACGGCCACTTCCGCTCATATTATCTCCGACGCTGCTGCCATGAAAGGCAGAAGCGCAGAGAACGACATCATCGCTGTCGAGACCTTTTCTTGAGACGCACATGTTGTCCATATTTCAAATATAGCGACTTGCTGTTCTGCTAACCGTAATGATGTCCCGCCTGCAAAGGCGATGACCATCACGACATAGCGGTGACATCAAGACGCCTGACTCGACCCGAGCACTTCGGCTGCGGGTGTAAGTACTTGTTAAGCGGCGACAGCCCCGAAGTGTGAATACTCGACGTCATCGACAGTAAGCGCAATATATGGCGTCTCGTTGACGTCAGGCATTGAATCATGCAAGCGATAATCGCGCTTTTTGCGTCGCATTACAGTGCATGAGAGGTTGCCATCGCTTCAAGCCGTTGCCTACGAGGTGTTTGTCTTGTCAAAATTGGGGCGGCAACGGCCTATCGCCTGGCGGGTCGCCCAAGTACATGACCTACAAATGAGACACTCGATAGCATCGTGAGTGGTTCCAGTGTCTTCTAAGGCGAATCAAATGTACATAACCCGTCGCCGATACCGTCGTCCCCATCGTCCCACGCCCTTACGATTGACTGGTCGTCAATTTCTTGACCTTTACCTTACCGTTGAATGGTGTACAGACGACATGGCGAGAAGCCGCCCTCAAACGAATGACACCAGATCTTTGGCGTCGCTCTCGACCTGTAATGGAGGCACACAACCAGGGACCTACGCATTCGTTCGTCAAGAGGCACCTCGGACGCCTTCAACGCGACGAAGTGCTGGACAATGTACCTGCATTTAAGGAGCAAGAAGCATGAGCGCATCGAGTCTGAGAGCCATATAACACAAACCTGCGCAATCTATGTCTTCTCGACGAACATGCGTTTAGGTGCCCAAGACAGGTCGAAGACATTCGACAAGTTGTGCATGTTGCTATGCTTGATTTGATGCACGACAAACTAATTTATAAATATACCAACCGAGGTCACGGAGGTAGCTTGGTTCTGCGACTCCAAAGCTGGCTCACGGCACCTTCACTTTGTCTACGTGCACGTTCGAAATCGAAACGTGTGCTGTAAACCACAACAATGAACAAGAATACAAAAAAATCTTTAACAGCATACGCTCGTTGCAATCTTTCTTAACGAGATGAAAAGTATTCGGTATACAATTCTTAAAAAAGAATCAAATGACACAAGCATCGCTAACTAGCCACGGAAAGTCGGCAGTCGTGCTCTTCGTAGTAGACGCAGACGCGCGCCTACATACAAGCTGGCCTGAACTTGTTTTCGTCTTCCGCACACTTCTCTTTCAGATACTGGAGGTAGCCCTTGTGCACGAAATTACTGGAATCCCTAAACCAACGACGATGCTTGTTCCCTTCTATCTTGGCCAGAGCTTGCTTGCGAGTGTAGCCACTCACGTTAAACCACAAGCTGTATGTTGGACGGTACCAGAACAGACGATGCTTCGGTTTGTCCTCCACACTGTCTGCTTTGCCAGTCTTCTTGTCCGTGTTCTTGTTCTTGACCTCGTCATCTTCCCACGGCCAGGAAAAGAGACGTCGATGCTCGGCCCTCTCATCGGTAGCGACCAGATTGCGCTCGGCGACTGCAGGCGAGGTCACGTCGGACGTCATGAGCTGCTCACTATCCAGAGTTGCTGCACTAGCATTGCCGCAGGCTGATAGGCAAAGCAATGCCGTTGACAGGATAGCGTACGGACGCATCGCAGAGAACGATCGGCTCGACAAGACACAGTGAGCTCGAGGCGGCGAATTGGCAAATGTCGGGGTCCGAACTACAGTTCAAGCCGACGTGTCTTCTGTTTTCCACGACTCGTTTGACACAATCCTTCCCGCGATCAGGGTCGATTGCCGTCATGTCGAAGCCGAACGTTGCGAGCGTGTGGAGTGCGCGTGACGGTGAGCTGTTGCGTGCAGCCTGTGCAATGAATGCAAAGTGGCGACTGCAAGTAGTGCTATGATCGACCTGTGGGCGAGCAGCTTTGCCGCAAGCAATTAAGAGCTATGATGCGCCGGTGGCGAGGGTGTTGTTGCACTTGGTGAGCTGCCTCGAGCAACACGTCAGGTGGTCAATCGGTACTGTTTGTGTCGAGACTGAGGCTGTGGGACATTTGGAGATGCACGTGTTCCGGAGCTTGGCGTCGATGGGTCGGACACACTGTAGCTTTCAATATCGCTATCCTTACGCATAGCTACGGCCACTCATTCGTTAATAAGACCGGTGTCGATTTGCCCTTCGTGCTTTGTTCTTCAACAACGTGTCCCAACCCACGTGCGCAGACAGACCTTATCGATCATAGTGACGACAAGTGGTCGACTGGGCTGTGTTTGCGTCCGCACTGCAGCGACCAGATGCTTTGAAGTACATGCCTTTACAGAGAGGCAGAGAGACAGAGAGAGAGGCAGAATAGTCGATTGGACGCTTATCAAGTTGTACGGTGTCTGCTTAGGAACGCCACTTCCTCGTGCGCGTCCGGAGTTGTTTCCGGACGGCTTGTCGCCGTAGATGACAGCTCTTAAGGCCGTATGGCTTGTACGCTTTGTATCAACAGCAAAAGGGCTTCTTGTACGTTCGTGTCGGTCTGCCGGCGGCCTCGTTTTGCTATTGCCGACCAGTGCCGCCGGGCGATAGCAAAACAAGACTACCGGTATACGGACACGAAGAGAAAGGGACCACTTCTGCCGCACACCTGTCTTCCCGAACCCCTCGACGAAGCCTTCGGCGGTGACGGACGTACACAAGATCGTCACTCGATTGCGCTGTGTCTACTAGTTACCCACGCAGACGCTGCTCGACCGAAACCACAGTCGGTTCCACACGTGCGCATCTTCGTTTACCTCGTCCGAGCGATCGCCTGGACGCCCCTAACAGCTCCGGTACCTGCTTGCGTGGGCTGTGAACGGGAAGCCGTGCAGGCGTTTCGACTCGCTGCGTGCGCCCGCCCTATAGCACATTCGCCACAACCATCTGGCCCGAGCGCACGGCCCAGCCCAGAAACGGCAGACCCCTCGTCTCCTTTGCTCCAATTAGCCTAATAGCCGACACCACGTGTCTGTTTCCCGCCCAGGGAAACTATGTCTCAGTGCGTCGCCGTCACGCGTGGACGGTCGACACCGAGTACGTTGTCAACGCTCGTTCAGCGAAGGCCGGTATAAGTGCTAACGTCTGTTGTAACGCTGCGCTTGCCAGGCGTTTGCTCGCGCTGCGAGCCGGAGCGTTCCGAACTACTGCGCAGCGCACTTGCCAATCTTTTCACGCAGTGACAGCATCAACTCGTTCCAGCCAAAAGGACGTGGGACTCGGTATGGATTCTGCCGCGGCTCCAGAAAATCTATGATCGATTGTCTGCGTACAGAGTTCGAAGCCTCGTGGGTCGTGCGTTGTGGCTCAAGCACCAGGCAGTCGGAGCAGTCCGCTGATCCTTCAAGTTGGTTCCGGCAATCTTCGAGTGAGATTTAGTGCTGTCTTGTCGGAGACGGATGACAGTCTGGTGGCCGATATGACTGTTCCGCCGCCGCTATAGTCGTCGGTTTTCGATGTTGAACATTAGCAACTTGAGGTGGATGGCGCTGTAGTAGAATCCATCGGACCTGGAGCCTGCCTCGAAATGTCCTATCCGGTGAGCGCCATCAAGCAGCTGGTTGCTCAAGCAGCTAGTCCCCAGCGACGCAGCATTGCTTGTTGATGAGTGACTGTGCTGACATCTGATAGCATGTAGGAGCACAACAAGACATCTATATGATGCAATGGGAGCTCGTCATAGTGCCGAGTGTCTTGCTATAATTGCAATTTCTTTGGTTTTCTAGAATATGCAAAATGTTCGTGTATTGAGATTAGTTTAAATTTTAAATATTTATAAAATGTGGGAGCCTTTATTATTTACTAAGCAAAATATTGTCAAATATCGCGACAGCTTTTCTTAGACTAAGGAATAATTCGTGTGCATGGTTGTGTAGTTGACAAAGGCTAAAATCGTTGTCAAGACAATAACCTATACAAGCTGGAGAATACAAAGATACGTAGGCTGGAATTCATTATGCATTTTCGTAGCTACCTCTACCTCGATTGAGCTTTTTAAAGACATAACTGTGCCAATCAATGCTGGCGATGAAGAGATTTGTATTTATGAACACGAAAAGGCATATCCATTAAAGATGTATAAGCATATAGCAAAAACTACCGAGAAGATAATAAAAGTGACAACAATTTCTATACTACGTACATATATAAATCTGCCCGTGATAACTCGTGGATATCGACGCATGTCGTCTTACCGCCGTCCCTTACTCAGTTACACAGAAACATCTGACGGCTTCGTCTCTGACATTCGTTACACCTTGTTGCGAAGCACGAAAGCGTCGTCTATTGATTGTCGATATGTGCACATACAAGTTGTAACGATTTGATCCGGATATATATTATTATCACTTACAACAATAAATATGATAGATAATATAACTTCAAATTTTCTCTTTACAATATCACTAAGTTCAATGAAAAAATATTGCTGCAGTGACCCAAGGGTCTACTCATTGGGTGATATGGACCATTATATCAACCCACAAATCGCTGCTAGACGCGCACAATGGCTAGTGAGTAGACGTCACCATACATGGCTATGCATTCATATAATTAGGACAGGACTGAAAAGACAGGACGCATTTTTGGACGACATTATACTAATACCATTTTGCTTTTCTTATTAAAATGTAGTCGCTTTGTCGAGAGGCCTTCTCAAAAGCGTACTGAGAACGCTAATCTAACAATGCAGTATTTCTTCTGCAGTCAGCGAGAGCTTTTTACGCACTGTTGTCAGTGCGTAGCTACCTACACCCCGTAACCACTAGTCGCACTTCGTAGCCCTCCCGAGGACCGCAACTTACATCGCTGACATGATCATGTTATACAATGATGGAAACACCTTACCACCACGCATGAAAGCTACTCCCAATCGAGTTACCTCGAATATAGCGGGGTAGAACGGATAATTTTAACCTTGGGTGAGAATGCTGTCTGGGCCATGCAGTCTGGATTAGATAGGGGCTAACAGCATCCCGCCGTCGCCAAGTGTGTACAACATGAACTTGACGCCGCGCGGTAAGAGACAATATTGCTTCAACAGCACCATTTTAAACAGACAGAGATGTTTAAAACACAAGGTGCTTGACAGTTTGAAATATTTAGACAACAGCAGGCTCAATCTTCTGTTCCCGGGGCGACGCGTGTACTCCGAACCGAAACCTTATAAATTTATACCTCCAAGTACAGAGTTAGTCGAGGGATAATCCCAGTTGTTATGGTTCGTATGCCTCGACCAAGCGATAAAGGCTCGTCGTGTTGACAATGAGCAAATGCAATTATATATGCTTACATTCTATTGGCAGGAAATTTCAAAACCTGAGCCTTAGGCCTTCATGATTCATGATCTATATTTATTTGGGTCGTTTAGGTCCTAAAACTGGCTTAGACAAACACATTTGAGCCACAACAAGCTCAGTTCAGGTATCTAAGAGAGCCTCTAAAGCTCAAACAGAGTAAGATTGATGTACACACTAACGATTAGCAGTTACAACTACGTGAGAATAGTATATAAGCCATTTCGGTCCATGAACACAAGTTGCTTAGTGTGTTCAAGCAGTGTCTCTCGAATAGTCCCTTCAAGACTAATCTGTTTTACATGAAGCTAGATAGGCCTGATAAAGCAAATTTAGCTGCGGTACATGGGGACTTTAGCATGAGACAGGCTCATGCTACTTCGAAATTTTATCGTCCACCGATACGACAAGACATTTAAGAGACAGAACCAATGAACGCCTGCTACTCTGGCTTAGAAAGCATTACTCTTTATAAAGCAAGCAAGTGATTGCAGAAGTGCAATAATTGTCAGACTATAGGCCATTAAGCCTATGAGTGTAGTGCCCCACGTCCGATACCTTGCAGCATATAGCGAAGCGGTCGTCCAGATTCAAAGAAGGGCAGCGGATGTAGTTCCGACGATGTTAAGTAGTACCAACAGCGAGTCGGTATGTCTAAAAGGTTTGGGTTCAGTAGGGGAGGCAGAGCTTTACTGATTCAGCAACATTAAAAGAATTTGCAAATCTCGTGACAAAAATAGATCTTGATACACAATCAGTATATGTTTATACACCTTATAATGAGTTATTCCACATCACCTTAAACTTGAAAGTGACAAACAAAATTTCACTTTATGCCCTAGACGAATGTGGAGAGTCGAACAATTTAGTTCGACGCCGGTCACTAGAATGTCGTAGGCTTAAATTTGTTAAGTTTGACCTCCCACTAACGAGATTGACGGTGTGCCTTGCTACAGGCGCCTCGATAACTGTACAAAAACGGGTAGTAGGAATCCACTACACGTTAGAAGATAGACTATACCATTACTATCTCATCTTACTGTATTTCAATGACCCTATCGGTCTTATCCTGACGTTAACTTGGCTCAAAAGGTTCGAACCAAGGGTGAGCTGGCAGCATCAATTCGTACATATTACTGCCGCTGTTCATCTAATGCCATCAGACAAACATATTGGAACTTTCACAAGCGTGTGGAAGTTTTGCGAGTGAGTGCGATGGCCTCGCTTGCGGTACGGTCGTTAGCACGACTACACAAAACCATATGTGTAGTCAATAACTACAATATGGAACAATCTGCCGGTGGCTGTGCCGATGTACCGACAGTGAC